TGGTGAAAAATTAATCATCTATTAGTGAAAGAAAAAAAGTAGGCGATAGGAATAATTATATTTTTGGTTGTTGTTAAAAAAAAGAAAAGAGAAGAAAACTCATAGATTTTTCTGAAATTTAATTGATATATATATATATATATATAATACTAGATGAGTAAGTTAATTTAATGATCTTTTGACTAAATTTTCAGAAAGAAAGAAAGTAGAAAGAATTTTACGGATATCTTTTTTTTATCTGTCTAATCAAATTATTATATTTAATCAATTTTCATGTACATCCCCTTATTAGACAAAACAATAGATTATTTTTCTTATATTTTGTTGGGTATCTTTTGTAATGAATTAATTTATAATTTTGTTATGTAATATAATGTGTCAATAATTTATCGAAAGCCTTTTTGTGGAGTATAATCTTAATTATAAATTTCTTCTTTAATTATGTATTTATTTCAATTATAATTTTGTTAATGGTTCTTATTTGTAAATCTTTGAATTATGTAATGTACTTCAATTATAATTTGTAGAATAATTCTTTGGATTGCATTCATATAAATGTGGGATATTGAATTGTTAAAACAATTGTGAATTTGATTACTGAAAAGTTGTGAGGTAATGAGAGGAAGAAGTCTTGGATGATAAGATGGGTAAGAAATTTAATAATTAAGGATTGTAAATGAAAAGTCAATTTGGTACCTAAAAATATAAAAGGAGGTTTGCCAATATTTTTATTGATTACAAAAAAAGAAATTCCTTAATCTTATTTAAATTATTATGTCCTTGCTCTTTGTTTTGAATACAAATGTTAGGGTTGTTACATCTTTCCTAGGTCTTTGAAATCTTGGAGTATAAAAGGCTAATAAAAGCCTGCCCTTATGATCTAAGCAGCCAAGACACCTATAAACCCAATCACCATGATGGTTCAGTTATGATAGAACCCATAATAGGTTAAAATTGGATGAACTATATAGTTAAACCATCAACCACCTTATCCTTGATTAATTATAAGAAATTATAAGCAAAGGGTTGTGAGATAAGCTATCCCATGATTCAAATATTACATATATCATATCTTGTAGGATATTGTACCTTATAATTGGGCTGTGTTGTTCAGTTATGATAAAAAACTATTTCTCTTGCTTCTCTTTTTAGCGATGTGGAATATTAACTCCTTGCTTTTAGTAATGAGTTATGATTTTGTGTCCTTTTTTTGCAATAAATTTCTTCTTATAACAGAAACAGGGACTTATTGTTACAAAGTAATGTCATTTGGATTGAAGAATGAAAGGGAAACTTATCAACTAATAGTTAATTGGATATTCAAGAATCAAATAGGGAGAATTATGAAGGGATATAATGATGATATGGTAGTAAAAAATGACTTTTAAATAACACCTCTGGACCTTGAAGAAGTTTTCTCTGTATTTCTTCAACTCTAAATGAAACTTAACCTTTTCAAATATGTTTTTGCCACTAAAGGAGAAAAGTTTCTAGGTTTTTTAACAAACTTTAAGGGAGTTGAGCTAAACCCATAAAAAATTAAAACCATACTGAATATGACACCCCTATAGACTATAAAGGAAGTGCAACGTCTTACAGGGAAATTAACTACTCTTAATAGGTTCTTTGCTCAAATGGGGGAACATATTATATTGTTCTTCAAAACCTTAAGAAATATGGCTCTTTCAGAAGACTGTAGATTTTTAAAAAGTTATTGCAAAAGCTTAAGATTCATTTGTTAACCCCTAAGATTTTTTCTTAACCAGGAGAAAATAAAGACATATTCCTTCATCTAGGGGTGGCAGACTCAATATTAAGTTCTATTATAGCAAGGGAAGATGAAGGCATATAGTTCCTAGTGTATTATTCTAGTGAAACACTTTATAATGCTAAAAAAGGATACCTAAAAATGAAAAAAATAGCTCTAGCTCTAGAAAGTTAAAATTATATTTTCAAGCTCATCAAGTTATAGTATTGATTGATCAATCATTGAGACAAATCCTTCATAAGCCAAAGTTGTTTAGATGCCTAGTGAAATAGGTTATAGAATTGAAAGAATTTAGCCTTAATACAGACCTCATCCAACTATAAAAGGCCAGGCTTTGATAGATTTCATTGTGGAATGTTGTTTTGAAGGACATATAAATACACCTGATCCTTTATTTTCAATGATAAAATCTTCAGCTAGATTAGAGGCTTTAGTAAAACCATCCATGATGTTTCCTATTTGGAAATTATATGTAGATTACTCTTCCATGGAAGTAGAGTTGGGATAATCCTTGCCAACCCTAAAGAAAAAAAAAAAGAATATAAAGCCTATTTTAAATCCCTAGCACAAATAATATAGTAGAACATGAAGTTTTTTTAGCTAGATTACGCCTTGTAAAGGCCTTGAACGTATACCCATTTAAAGCACATAGCGATTCCTAATTGGTAGTTAGTCAATGTTAGGGAATGAGTGAAATAAGAGAACCAATCATGCAGTTATATCTTTAGGAGGTTCTACTTTATTTCAAAGCTGAAGAAGAAAGATTTCAAACACCTATATTCCAAGGGGAAACAACTATCGGCCCAATCTTTTATCTAAGTTAACAAGTTCAAATACTGCTAAGTTCCCTATCAATATTTGGGTAGAAATTCTGGAGAAACCAAGTGTCAGTAAAAAAAACCTAATATTCATTCTCATCAATATTGAAAATGATTATAGAATCCTAATTAAAAACTATATGCTAACATTAGAGCCACCTTCAAACAAAAATGAAGCCATCCATCTAACTAGGTGAGCATTAGGGTATTGCAAAATTGACAACATCTTGTATAAAAGATTGCTTCAACTTTATTTTTGAAATGCTTATTCTCAGAAGAAAGCACTTATATCTTGAAAGAAATACATAAAGGCATATATGGCTTATATACAAGATCTAGAGCTTTTGCTGCTTAGGGCACATGATTAGGTTTTTATTAGCTAACTTTACTCTATGACGCTATAAAATTAGTGAAGAAATATGATCAATATCAAAGGTTTGCCTCAATCCCCTAACAACCATTTGCAAAATAAATAACCAAAACCTCCCTTTGGCCTTTTCACAATAAGGATGGATATTATAGGTCCATTTCTTAAGACCATGCGTAAAACATGGTTTGTCCTAGTAGTTGATGATTACTTTACCAAGTAGGTTAAATCACCCTAGTAGAGATAACAACCAATAAAGTATTTTAATTCTTTTGGAAGAATATCATATGTCATTTTGGAATTTCTAAATTCTTGATTATATATAATAGGACACAATTTAACAACTATAAGTTAAGAGAGTATTATCAAAGGCTTCAAATTGATCATCGTTTGTCCTCAATATTATATCCTCAAACTAATGATCAAGCTAGATTAACTAACAGAATTCTTATTAAAGGATTGAAAAAAGGATAAAACAAGCCAAGTCAGAATGGGTAAAGATGCTAAATGAAATCCTATAGGCTTATAGAACCACTTAGAAGACATCTACGGGTGAAACTCATTTCTCCTCGCATACAAAACTAAAGCCATGATACCAATTGAGATTGGATGTCCTAGTTATTGGGTGATCTACTATACCTTAAAAGGCAATGATAAAACCAAGCTTGACTTCATAGAACAATCATGCCTCACTACTATAATTAGAAATGAAGCCTATAGTCATAGCCTAATTTTTGGATGCTTAAATAGTAATAATAACATATAATAATTTTAAAATTAGGTCAAGACCATATAAATTGGAGGTTCAGGGACTAATATGGAGGAAATTATAAATTCGAAAGACAATTTGGCCAAAAAATCAAAAGAATCGATATACAATCAGGGGTTTAATTGAAGAAATATTAAATTTTGGGTTAATTTAGGTCAAAATTGCAAGAAATTAAATTTGAGGGACCAAAATGAAAAGGCATTAATACTATAGGGGGTTAATTGATTTTTACAGAGGTAATTTTGAAAAAATTAAAAGTTGAGGAGTTAATTAAGGACTAAATTGATTAAACTTGAAACCAATGATTATTTTGTAAATGACGTTGACATTCGGGGGTCTAATTATAATTAATCCAGGGGTGAAATAAAAAAAAATTCCATGAATAAGGGCTTGATTGCTAAATGATAGAACTTCAAGGTGCAAATTAAATATGTTCATTTTAGTTGGAAAAAAAAAAAACAACGTCGTTTCTAAACCAATTGTTCATCCTCATCCCAAGTGAAATCGACTCAACCAAAACTACACCAAATCTAATCCAAATCATAGATCAGATTTATCTTCTAAACAAACCTACTAGTGTCCTCAGTTTTTTTCACCCACATGTTGCTCCTTAGATGTAGGATTATTCATCTCCAACAGTCCTGTAATGGCATGATTGTTGATACTTTATTTTCCTCAAATATAGAGGAACGAGCCATACTTATCCTCATCCCTAGGATCATTATCTTGGGAAAGATTAAATGAACTACTAAGGCAGAAAAGGAAGAAACCTAGAAAGCATAAAAAAAAAAACACAACTAAAGCAAAGAGAATGAAGACTATAAAAGAAACAAAGGAAAAAAAAAAAATAAAGGGGGCGAAGGTAGCATTGGCTAGCCAAAGCTTCATCATCATATTTGTCTCCGGTGAACTAAATAAGTTCTTCTTTTCCCTCATTTTACAATTTTAATTACCACTTTACTGTGCAAAGCGTGCGTGATTTGATGCACATATGCTCGCTATTATAGGTCACTGGCTTGGGCCAATGACTAAGCTGGGCTGACTGGATCAAGCCTAGCTCATGCAGCTAGGCTAGATCCAACCTCCCTCCAAAAAAAGACAAAAACTATTGAGACTAGAGGCCCAGCTGACCCAAATTTCTTTAGGTTAAAGGTGTGGTTGACAAAACATATCCTGATGCTATTTTCTTTTAATTTTAGTCTTAATTATTTTGATATCTAGTCAAATAGACCTTTTTGGATATTAGAAAATTCTAAACATAGTTGAGGACCTTTTTGAATTTATTTGTGGGTCCCTCATATATTTTTTTATTACTTTATTTAGTTTTTGGATTGTTGACTTCCACTATAAAATGTGAATCTTGTATACGATACATATCTGTCCTTTTCTTTTTCTTTAAAAAAATAATAAAAAGACATGGTTTGTTTTCAATCCAAATTTTATCGATTTATTCACTAGTGCTTGAGTCATGAATACCATATTGTTTTGGTTATGTAATATTTATCAATGCCAGAGTTAGAAGTTTTATAGTGGAATATTCACTAGCACCAAAGTCAGGAATATTATAAGTAAACCATCGAAAACAAAATAAAACAAACCCTTAGTAATTTTAAAAAAAAATCAACAATACAATCTACCTCAGGTAGGACGCTTAAGAGCTGATAGTATCTTTTATTTTGTGTTACTAGTCGTATACCATAGAATCTCTATTGACCAGTAAAGATTTCTGGTGACCATAATACTAGGTGGCAATTCATTAAACTGAATATTTTTTCCCTCTAAGAACAAGATACTAAATATATGTCCTTTCACCATGAAATTTTAAAAGGTTGTTACGATGTAAGATACAAGCAATATAGAAAGTATTGAGGATTTATAAGGATTTGGTCTTAAGAAAGTTGAAAGATACAAGCAATAGAAAAAGTAATGGTAAACTAACCCCATAATGGAATGGTCTTTTAAGAGTTGTGAGAATAATCAAGGTAAATACTTATAATTTACAAGATATATGAATACTTATCATTTATAAGATATGGAAGGGAATGGTCTTCCTTACACTAGTCATCTTATTCAATTAATGCTAATACTTGTAAATCTCGTCAAGCATTCATGATTATAACTTATGTTAACAACAAATCAAGTTCCTTTCATAGCTCAGGTGTCGGTTATACCATACATTATGGGCTATGAAAGTGCCAAGCATTTGTTGTACCAAGTGTTATACAACATAAATCAAGATTAGTCATTTAACAAGCAAAGTATTAAAGAGTGAACAAGATAACAAATATAAAACATGTTAGTATCAAACATTAAAGTCCATATTAAGTTTACATTATACTTATTCTTACACCATTAGTGTAACCTTTTCACCTTGACATAACTAACTTAGCTAGACATAATGAAAGAAAGCAAAATAGATAAACAAAATAAGAACATAAAAGTTAACTAAGTAAAGGAAAGGAAATGAAAGGCATAAACTTAATATTAATGAAAGCAAAGCATAAACATTACAAAAAATACAAAGAGAGAAAGGAAGAGCATGATCTTGATCTGGAAACCAAGATGCCTAAATGCATGGCAAATGCCTCCTTTTATAGGCCAAAATTGGAAACTATTGATTTGATGACTAATTGATAAGTGGGTGGCCAACTTTTGACTTGGTGACAATCCTTATCTTCTCTTGTCTACCCAAAAAGTCATTGATAACGTCAAAATTAGAGCCAGTTGTAAACATGAAAGTTGTAGGCAATTGTCTCAGCTTTCTTGTATAAAACATTCAGCTCATTTGGACTTCTAGAACTCCAGATATGGCCAAAATACCGAATAGTGCTCGGGCTGGAAGACAGATTCGGGCTTCTTTGTTGTTGCTATAATTTGGACTTGATAATGGCCTTTTTAGATCTTGGGCTCCATATGAAAGTTGTAGGCCTATGTCTTACCTTTCCATCCATATAAATTGGACCTAAATCTGAGATATATATCTCTAGATATGACCCAATTACCGAACAGTGTTCCGGTTTAGATTGCACCGACATCTCTTTTCTAAGTTTAGCCATCTCTTTATCCTTGCAATTTAAGTTCTTCAAGTCATCAATCAATCCTTTCATTTATGTGATAGGCCTGCATTAAAAATAGACATTTACCACAAATTATAGGTATCTTATATTATTAGATACATTATTATAAAACATATTTTAGTTAAGGAGTTATTGATACTTCAAGTGCAAAATGATGATATAAAACCATGATAAAAATGCACTTTTAAGTACTAATCACACCCCCCAACCAGCTTATTACTAGTCCCTAGAAATCAAAGCGTTAAAATAGAAAACAAATTTGCAAATTTCACAAAGCAAGGTATTCATCATTTAACTTCCATTAATCCATCCAGATAAACAAACTCTCATTAAATTTATATATCTGCTCAATACCTCTTAACAAGATATTAATAAACCTTTCTTTTGTGCTCAATGTATCAACACATAATTATGGGGCTTTTCTTGGAAGAAAACAAAATTTTTGTTCTAATGTTTAAGGTTAACTTCCTTGGGTTGGGATTACTATTTTTGTCTTTTTTTTTCTTCTTCTTTTTTTTTTTAACTCTATATATATATACTTTAAAAACATCATGCATCTTTAACCCATGTAACGAGCTTTCAGCTAATGACTCCCAGACCAGTTGGTCTTAGGGCATTAGGTGTTAAGACACCCCTACGAGCTTAGTAACTCGGGTCGCAGATACTGATATGTAGATAGTACAATGTTTGATTCCCTTAAGCATTTCTCCTCAACCCATGTAACAAGCGTTGGGCCAATAGCTCCCAAGTCAGTTGACTTTAGGGTATTAGGTGTTAAAACACCCCTTCGGGCTTAATTGCTTAGGTTAGGGAGGCTACGAAATCAAACTTATCTACATTTTTATTATCATCATTTTTTTTTCTTTTTTTCTTTTTTTTTCTTTTTTTTTTCATGTTTTTTTTTAATTATATACAATCCCTTTCCCTTAGTTGTTACCTTTAACAAAAGAACACAAATAATGTAATAATCCAATATGCAACCCACAATCATATGTTAAAGTGTGTGTGTGTAAATTAAGGTTTAAAAATACATGTTAAATAAGTATATGAGCAGAATTAAGTGGTAACAATACGAGAGTTTGTAAACCTGAATATTTCAGGAAGTATTATAATAGACCTTGTTAAGAATGGTTACTAAGATGCGTCTCAAGAGTCACTTTAACAAAAGAACTCCTTTACTCTGCCATCCTAGTAACAACAATTATGCACATGCTTTATGAAATGAAAAACAATTTTTTTTTTTTTATCAACTACTACCCTTTTTTTTTTATCAACTACTACCCTCTCCCCCCAACCAAAACGAGACATTGTCCTCAATGTTCTAAGGTAGAAAGATAGAGTATAGAAGATATCACCTGAAATAACGAACACCGACAAACCTGAAACATACTAAAACAAAAATAAGAAATAACAAAACACAATAATAAAACCAAAAGACACAAAAATTCACAAATGAAGGCTCAAATCCAATCTAAGCTTTTTGCGGCTTTCCTTAGATAACCAATTTATGCGACTCATGGAAGGATCAATCATAGGAATGAAAGATTGTAGTTGGTCAATCAATTGTTCAGCAGTAGCAACAGAGATTATGATTTGTCGTGCAGAAGATGTTAGAAATTCTTGTTCCACAGCATGATCAAGAAAAGACAACAACTTATCATAATAACCATTAACATTTAACAAACCTATGGGTTTATGGTGAATGTGCAGTTGAGCCCAAGAGGAAATATGAAAGATCTCTTCCAATGTGCCTAGACCACCTGGTAAAGCAATGAAGGCATCAGCATGGTTAAACATTGCATTCATTTGAGCTGACATTGTGGAGACCTGAAGTTCCTCTCCAATTGTTTTTCCAATGATGTCCCCTTGTGCTAAAGCTTCAGGGACGACCCCCAAAACTTGACTACCTCCTAAAAATGCAGCTATTGACACACCTCCCATTAACCCAAGACTGCCTCCCCCATACACTAAATGAATCTTTCGCTCAGCTAGCACCTGACCAAGATGATTTGCTGATTCTAAAAACTCATTTTCTTTCCCAGGACTAAATCCACCGAAAACACAAATATTTCTTATTTGATGACTTGAGGAACTTGCCATTTCTACACACTTCTGTATTTGTTGAATGTATGGGTTGAGTAGAAATGAAAGGAAGGAAAAGAGGGTTTTATAGATGAGGAATTAGAAAGGCAATCATAACACCTATATGTAGGCCAGCTGGAGTCTCACACTCTCTCTCTCTCTCTCTCTTTTTATTTATTTATTTATTTACTTTTGAAAAAAACATGTGTATGTACAGGTAGTTGTGATTGTGGATCACATCTTCCCTTGGTTTTACGTCCAAGAACGGCTTAAACGCCCTCTATGGGTCGGGGATAGGCTTCCCATCCAGTTTTCTTAAAAACTGGCAAACAGGGTCTTTTTTAGTCAGATTCCCAAGACTAAGTCGATCATGTTCTTTATGAAATAGTGGCCATAAATCATGAATTGCACGATGCACATCTCCACTAGGATGTGTCTCAAGAGTCAGTAGAAGATTATCTAAAGACTCCTTACTCAGGCCATCCTTAATGAATTGTATTTTATCTTCACGGTTTATAGATACCATTCCTAAAGAACGACATTGTGTATTACAAGTCCATCTAGCACATCGATGACAAACATCCAGTCGTTTTGCACGACGCTTCTTTGCAAAAGTGCTTTTACCTGTTCCAGGCATGTGTGAAATGAAGGAGTTAGAGGACTCACCTGATAATCGGACCTTTGCTTCAATCAGCCAGCGAATATGTTCAGGAATTCCATGATTCATTAACAATCTCAATCTTGCACATCTAGCATGGTAAATTTTTATAATCGCATTCTGAGGCAGAGCGGGAAAATACTTTTTCAATTTTTCAAGATTAGTGTCCATTATCAAATGAGAATTGGAAGAGAGATTCAAAGAATTGCATAGATATATACACAGATATCAGTTATTGTGGGAAACTGAAAGAACCGACTTAAGTCACGGAGTACCGTTATCCGCCATTTGACCGGGGTGAGAGAAACTAGCAAAAATCACTCAAAAAGAAACACAAAAACAATGTGAGAAAAAAAATAATCAACCTTTATCTACAAAATCATTCAAACCAGTTGATTCGTTTTCATTAAGAAAATTATCAAAGTGAGCTTTCAAACGATGTCCATTTTCCTTAAAATCATTGTCATTCATTG